TTTGCTTGCCCTGCCGGCTGCGATTTTCCTTTTTTACCCAAAATAAGGTGGGGGGGTGCGGGCTTCCCGGACCCCTCCCCTAGATCCGCGACTGGTCTTTATTTCAAATTATTAGTTTGTGGAAGCCTCCTTTCTTACATTCCCCAGAACCTGCACAAAAATAACGCCCCTCCTCACACCCTCCTCTATTTTAAGCCCCGCCTGGCAATAAAAGTCTTCTTTCATGAGTTATAAGACGGAAATGAGGCTTACTTGAAACATTTTCAAACCATCAAAGTTTATGCCATAGTCTCAGAAACTTACCCACGACAGTCGGCTCCAAATCGATGAAAATTGACCGAGGAACGAATTTTCCAGACACCGTCTCGTTGAAAAATGTGTTGAATGAATCATCTAGCACTTCAGCTGAAGTATCGTTCATCTGGCCATCTGCCAAAATGCCGTGTTCAAGGCAATACAGCTCCCAGCAAGCGTTGCCGATTTGAACGCCAGCTTGACCAATATGCAGAGATATGCACTCACGCTGAAAGAGAAACCAAACAGCAAATAAATCTAAGACAACTGCAATTTTTGAACGTGAAGGAAAAATGTCAGCCATGACTGATTCGTGGCAAAGCTGCGTCGCTGCGAACAAAAAACCGCTGCAAAAAGCTATTTTATTACACTTAGCTTAAGTGTTATTTTCGATAAGATCTATTTACCAACAAGAGACCTTATTACCGAAGAATAAAAAGTATCCTGCCTACCATTTTGAATGAAAGACGGGTAAAATTCTCAACTGCTGAAAAATTCGTTGGCTAGCTTTGTCAACTCTCTCAATCACTCGCTTTTTCGTGAGTAGGTTTCGTTGATAAGTCAATTAGAACAATAAAAGTAATTAGAAAATGGATATAATTGGAAGATTAATTAACATAATCTGGGTATAAACTTATCTACTTACCAGTTCATTTTCTCGGTAGTTAGTTGCTCAGTAACCGACATCTTGACTGAAAGTTGACTACAGAAAAAATTGATGGCGACTGGAGAAACGTTCGCTTTTCATACGCGTGCTGCCGTGCGTATACGTCATCCAGAAGCTAGCCAATCATGTATTTTGTTTTGTGTGACGTATAAATGAGTCACGCAATTAACAGAAGCGTAACGGTTCAAGCGTGTAGGACAACCGGCCGTTCCGTTTCATTCTGCAAAGAAAATCTGCAAATGCATCCTGGGTGCGTGGATAGTTTACGATACAGATAGAGAAGGCCTATCCATGCTTACAAGGCTTGAGTTTGGAGGCTTGCGGTATCAAACCTGCTTTCTCAGGATAATATCACACCGTGCAAGCGATTGCCCTGGCCGTCCGACCTGACATGATTTTGGTCCTATAGCTTCTGTTTCGTTTGGTCACGACATTTTCATATCGAGTAACATCATGGGAGGAAGTGAACGGCAGCAATGACGTCACTCCTGTTCTACTAACAAGCCAGTTCAAAGGTGGAGACTGAGGCTATGTTCACACTTGGTGCTAGCCTGCATAGCAAGCGTTCCCGTTCGAAGAGCTTTTCCGCATTCTGGCCGCGCGTACACTGGAGCGAGAACAAAAATTCGACTAAGCAGAGGTTTTTGCTCTCGCTCAAACTTACGCGCGGCCAGAAGGCGAGAAAGCTCTTCACGCCGTAGGGGAATGCTTACTACGCAGGCTAACTTGGTGCCAGAGTACAGCTCTCACTGGGCATTAAAGGCACATTTTTCCAAGCACTCACACCAGAATTCGGGCACTGTGCCTGGGTACAAGGTCTCGGCCTTGTACTCGGGCACTAAATGGCTCTTCACTCATTGGTACAAAGAGCACGCATTCACGTTAAGTAAATAACGGAAATTTATTCAGCAAATAACAAAAAGTTGTATTCAAAATAATATTTAAAAAATTATCTGCTTTTAAAACAAGTCTTTTATGCAAAAAAGCAGTAATAATGGTACGGGTATTTTCATGAGCCATGAATTATATCCTTTTTGTAAGAAATGATTGATTATCTGTTTTACGAGTATCGAGTACTTAGTTTCCGTGAAAGGTGGCCGATTTGTTTTTACGTCCTGAAGATCGTGAACTGACAATGGCGGAATAAAACGTGAAATTGTCGTTTTATTTTCCGTGAAACGTTATCTGTGCCTCTCCCCACCCGTCCCCCCACCTCACTATCGCCACCACTATCATTCCCCACCCTCCCATTTTTACCGCCCTACGGAAATTTATTCGCGAGCTCTGTAGTCTAGTTAGTGAAACAACCGAAGTTGCACAAAGTACAATGCATGATGAAGCCCCGATATAACAAATCGTCAAGGAACGGGGAAAATGTTTTTGTTAAAACGGCATCTCATTATGCTAGGTTTCATACAGTCTACTCAGTTTGTTAAAATTTGGTCGAGCAGAAGAACATCTTTCATTTTGTGGGACATTCCTATAAAGGGTCTCATTAAGTCGGGGTTCCACGCTATGTCACGTGAGAGTCAACAAACAAGTCTCCATGGATTTCCTATAGCTGCAGTAGTCGAGAGAAATTATGTTTCGAATATCAGGAGAACTTTTACGCTGATAAACCTTGAAAATAGACTACTAGTAGTCCCTCTTTTGTTCAGTCCGTCGTGCGCGGCGCGAAAGAAAACCGCGAAAAAACGGCCCTGCGCGTTCCCTCCGCCCGCCCCAGGATTTCACACGGCCATTTTTTACCTCGCAGGTTATTTCAGGCCACGCTCGACGAACTAAGCGAAAGAAGGACTTCTCGTAGTCTAACTTGAAAAGTAGAGGGATTGTTGAGTCATTTTTCTCGTGAACGTTCTCATTACTAGATTTTTAGGTCAGGTTTTGCCATTTTGCCTCAGCTTTCTTCATTCGTTTCTTTCTCTGGAAAACGCTGCAGCGGCTCATAAATTGACGTTTTGTCCATGCCGCAGACGTCATTTTCAAATCTGCTTTGTGATTGGCTTGATTTAAATTTCCTTGTATCACCTGGTTGAGGCTGATAAATGCTGTCTCCATAAGGCGCTGCATATTTAGAGGTGCTCAGCGGTTGTACGTATGACTTAACACAAACCAAGTCCCCCACGGCCTGAGACGTCACTGTGCCCTTATCGCTGGTTCCTCTCTTGTGGGCCACTTTCCTAACAGGAGAGAGCAATCCAGCCAATGGTTCAGGTTTGTAATTCAGGTCATTTTTACAAAGATCTATAAAAGGACTTGACAACGTGTCAAAATTCTTGGGGCCTTTCTTCTTCCCTTTTTCTTGAAAAGCTTGGGATCCCATATCTACGGGGAGTATTTCTTTGGAACCTGGCAAAACGTCCGTGGAAGATCTACAGCCGTTATTGAAATATGAACCAGTACAGTCACGTGACGGTATAAAAGTTTCGTCCCTTGTGACGTCCATCGAGGGACTTGGGATGTCGCAATCAACAGCGTGTTCTTTGCTACTACTAAAGGCGAAGTCATTTCTTTTGTTTCCGGGTAGTCCAATCGATTCACTGCTACCAGCTTTTGCATTGTCAAGCCTTGATTCTTGCGTGATTTCAGAATCAACAACCTTAGAGTTTTTCTTGGATTCGCAATAAGAAATATTGAAATGCCTCTCAAATACTACCATTTCAGGCTCCGCCATTTTGTTCTTAGGTGGAATTTGAACAAATTGTGCCTCGAAGTTGAAAGTCGAAGGAAAGAAATGCACCACCTTAGGCTTTGCTTTTCCTCGCGTCGTTCCCATCTTTAAGCTGCTCTTTCGTGGCTTTGCAGTATTAAACAGATCTTCTGACTCGTCGTAATTCCCTAGTTTATCAGTGAGAGAAAACTTTCTTAAGTCTGACTCGGAAGTCAACCGTTCGGAAACCCAAGACTTCTTTCTATTCTTTCTATGAAGCTGATCCCGGTTGGGATCAAACACAACCCCGGGGTCAGATTCCAAATCGACGTCCATGTAACTCTTCGAATATCCCGGGGGAAACTCTTGCAGCTCTATGACCTGACGTCTCCGTGGGCGGAGCCTCAGGGCGTATTCCACAACCTCGTCCCCGGCATCAAGCGAGTCACGTGATCGTCTACCATAGCGGTCCACAAACTTCCCTTCTGAATCCTTTATGCTTCCGTAACTGCCAGATTTAGGGCTTTTGTTCAAGAAAGCACCAATGCTCGTCCATTCGGGCTCGTAACTCCACGATTTTCTTTCTTCCGGATTTTTCAGTGGCTTATAGCGGTATCTTACAGGCTCGCCCAAACGGCCTACTTGACTTCCTGTAAACAAGTTTGATACTTTGCTCTTGGCTTGTTTTAGTTTCCCAGATTGTTGTGTGGCATTTGCCGACATATACTAAAGGGAAAAAATGAAAAAGACAATTATGAGCAAGTAGACAACTTTAACTGAGGGAATAAACAAACGTACAATTAAGGGGTAAAGCGCCGTTTTTCTTTAAAGCACTCGAGAAGGATTTGATCTCTAGTTCAACTGAAAATCTAGTTCGAGCACTCCGAGTCGCATCAGAATGACACAGTTATGGTAGATGATGTTCCTTAGCAACTTCTGTAAACAAGACTACGGGCTCTCTTTTATTACTTAAACCTTCCTAAACCTATTATTAATCCATGCCTTTGAAATCGAAGTGCTGGGAAACCCATTACCATGCTCGCTTGCAGTTTATCTGTCCGTCATTCGTTCGTTCGTTCAAGATCATTCGTTCATTCGGTTGGTCGGTTGGTCGGTTGGTCGGTCAGCCGGTCGGTCTCTCGGTCGTTCAGTCATTCGAACAGTCACTCAGTCAGTCAGTCAGTCAGTCATTCATTCATTAATTTATTCATTCATTCTTTCATTCATTTAGTCAGTCAGTCCGTCATTCATTCATTTAGCAGGTCAGTCAGTCACTCAGTCAGTCGGTCGGTCTGTCGGTCTGTCGGTCGGTAGGTCGGTCAGTCAGTCAGTCAGTCAGTCTGTCGATCAGTCAATCAGTCAGTCTGTCAGTCAGCCAGTCAGTGAGTCAGTGAGTCAGTCAGTCAGCCAGTCAGTCAGTCAATCAGTCAGTCAGTCTGTCAGTCAGCCAGTCAGTGAGTCAGTCAATCAGTCAGTCGGTCAGTCAGTCAGTCAGTCAGTCAGCCAGTCAGTGAGTCAGTCAGTCTGTCAGTCAGTCAATCAGTCAGTCGGTCAGTCATCTAGTTTGTATGTAACAAATTAAACGCGTATAATTGAATAACCTGGCTTCTCTCATTCCCAAAGAATTCTCAACATCAAGTAATTTTCTTTACGATATCTGACAGGTTTTCAGAATGAAAATGATAACAATGTTGTCTTGAATTTCTAGCAAATTCACAGCACGTACATTAAAGGAATCAGTATAGCAATGACAGTTCTAAGTGAAAATTACTATTGTCATCTGTAATGATCTTCACCTGCATAGAGGAGTTTCCTAAACTCTGACGGTGGTAGTTGTCATTGGTAGCCATGGTAACACTCACATGTTGTGGTCTTTCCTCAGACGTAATTTTGTTGGTGGCTGCAATGCTGCGCAGATAGCATACGCTGCACTTCCGTTTCTGTGAAGCTGTGATGGGACAATTGACATCAGATTCGCTTCGGTGGCGCTTCCACAGGCAGCCACAAGGTGCGTAAACGCAAAGGGCTACGACAGATAGCAGTATCAGGACCGTGGCCGCTGTGGTGATGTACCAGTTGGTTCCTTTGTGTTCTTTTGGAGCCGGTGCTACTGCTGTTTTAAAGAGAAACGTAGGAAGTTATCATAAACCGGCAGAGAAATGTCTTCGGTCTTATCCCTCAAGAGTCTGAGAGTACGTGCCGAATATCAGAAGAGACAAAGTCCGCTCAGATTTCGTTTTCCCGAATACTGCAAACAGATGGCACGAGACGAAATACCCCTCAATAGCTTTCGTTTAAATGGTCACACACTAGTATTTCATGCACAGACTTAAAAGTAAGAACCACCTTGTACAGCATAATAAACAGTACCACATAAAAGTACTGCTCAGTAGCTTTCATTTGAATGGTCGCAAACTAAGGTTTCATCCACAGACTTATAAGTGAAAACCACCTTGATTAGCATTATAAACAGTACCACATGAAAGTACTGCTCAGTAGCTGTCATTTGAATGGTCACACACTAGGGTTTCACCCACAGACTTAAAAGTTAGAACCACCTTGTACAGCGTATTAAACAGTACCACATGAAAGTACTGCTCAATAGCTTTCATTTGAGTGGTTCCAAAGAAGTAGAGTTTAATTTTATGCTCAGACCTTAAAGTTGGAACCGTGTTATATACATGCATCATCATTGAAGAGTACACAGTACAAAATGAAAGTATTTTTTACTGTCTGTTGCATGGCAGACGCTTATTAAACTCACTGACATCTTTCTAAAGAAGGTTGTTTCTCATTCCCTTCTTTTTTATTATGACCGAGAAAATTACTTCTTTGTGATTGGCTGAGAGCAGGCCAATTTATCGTTAACTTTTAATTTGCACTGCAGCGCAAATTAAGATAGGCGCGTTCATAATTTTCTCGGTCATATATTAAACGAGTAATCTTATGAAAGCTCGAGCAATTAAGGATTTATGAAATCTGAAAATTCTGTCAAATTACACTCGCCTTTGGGCTCGTGCAATTTTAAGAGAATTTTCAAATATCACTCGTAATGCAAATCCTTCATTGCATTCGCATTCATACTCTTACAAAATAATTTTGTTTTGACGTTGAAATGCTTTTGACGGCTAAAATTAAGGCCAACCCCCATGGAAATTTTCTTTTCATCCGGGTACCCTTGCGGCACTGCATACGTCAGCCCTGGATCAAAAAAACCACGTGATGACGTAAATAGGGCCAGATGCTTTCATTATGTTCGTCCCCACACACTACATCAGCAATTCTACATTAGCAATTCTTATTTGATTTGCAGAACGACATGAAATTCAAATTATATTATGATCTAAGCTTTGCACGAAATTCCATCAATAATTTCTCATTACTAAATCGGTTCCCTTGCAAGACATCTCAGCTGGTTTTATCCAAAATGGCGCCCATGGGAAAGGAATAGATAACAGGCAAGATTGATAAAATGTATGAAAATTTAACTGAGCTAAGAAGGTATTTTGTTAAAAATTTGTATGCCAGAATTTTTTAACCCTTAAGGGAGGATTGAAAACCAATGACAGCATTTCAGTTTGTAATCAATCTTTCCTTATTAGGACTAGCCATTTGTCTTTCTTTGAATAATGAACAAAAGGGAACTCGCGGATATCTGGAAATAATTTCTTGCGTTTTGACTAAATTCTTATTAATTTTCTTTTCTGGTAAAGGTTCGAGAATCTAATACAGTTTTGACAAAATAAGTGTAAAATAATTTCCTTGTTTCACCGTGCCTCTTATTACCGATTCTTACGTCATGTAATCAATTAGACTAGGAATTTCCTTCAAAAACAGATGTCTCCGTTGAAGTGATTTTGTTTCGTTGGCATTATTAGATTTACATTCCGTCTGCATACACAAATTATGAATCAAAGTAGAAAAACAAAACACTCTTGTTTGCCCACGTCTGTCTTGAATTTGAAGATTGGCCGGCCTCACTTCTAGAATCGAGATGTCTACAGGCAACTAGATAACAATCTCGCAGAAAATTTGATAATTTTTTGATTTTTATCTTTTCGTGGAGCAAAGATTTGTAATTCACTCTCACTGACTTTTACGGAAATAATTGGTCGTTCACTTAACCTTTTTCTTAATAAAAAAAAATTGCTTTTACTGAGAACATACTTTTCATCAGAATCAGATATAATTTCAGTTGATAGTAGAAATTAACACTTTTCGTTTTCAAACCATTTAACTAGGACGTAAGCTGATACATTCTTTTAAAAACTTGACATAAGGCGTTCAATGGAAAGAAAGATAAATCGATCTTTTCATCGCATTTTCAGCACAATGCATCAGTGAAATTTCTAATGTGTAGTTCAAGCGGGGGATGTGATATAAGAAAAGTACTATCAGAAAATCAATTAACTTGTGACGAAAGTCTACCTTTTTAGACTTGTGGTTCCAAAGTCACACTCGTCGAATTAATTTTATCGCAATCATCCGGTATATAAAAATCGCAAATATCTAATTCTGTGGAGAAGGTGATGGCGTTTTAAATTGCAAAATCTCTCGAGATTTCGGGATTTTTTGGTGATCAAATCGCAAATATGAACGGTTTACTGAGAAGTTGATTGATCTTGCTCTTATTAATGAACAAGGCCAGCTCGACGCGAAATGGCTACTTCTTATTTAAATGGTTCTTACAAGTCCATTATCGAAGATCTAGCTAGGAAGCTGGCCTAATGGCCATCAAAAACACCTTTTTTATTCAACTCTCTTTCCAAAAAGGATCTGCTATTAAAAATCATTTCATTGGAAGCGTTCCTGTCAACAGAATGACTGGAATATATTAAAACAGAAGATGAAAATCGTGCGTTCTGCTGTAAAAGCGTTAAAAAACAGAGACCGCACTGACGACAAAATTCCTACGCAATTTCTCCGCAGATTTTATTTATTGATTTGTATTTTTTCGACCATTTTGATGGCATACATTAAATCTTTGAACGTTTTGAAGTATTGTCATCTTTGTAGTACAAGAAACGTCAGTATCATGGAATGGTGAAATATTCCTTTTATAAAGCCAAACGTCTTCGAAATTGTTTCTATCAGA